AAAATTCACCTCAATAAACATGTATTTGTCATTTATTATGTGCCAGGTACCATAATATCCTGGGTACAAGAATTCAAAGGTGAGACAATGGACTGACCCTCAAAAAGCTGAGTCTAGAAGAGACAAATACAAATTATGTCACTAAAAAACATAATAAAAGTATATACAAACAGCAGAAGTAACAAGATAAAGCAAAAAATTAATTTTGCTTGAAGAAAGTAAGGAGGAAGTAGTTGAAGTAGCATGGTAAAGAAGAGAGGAGTCTAGTGGCACACTTGAGTCTAAAGCCCAGCTCAGTCATTATTGGCCATAAGATTTGGGACATTTTAATTTACCTCTCTGAGTTTCCCTTTAAATGTACTTTGAGCAGTTACTCTGAAGATTAGAAATAATATATGTAAAGTATCGAACACATACCAGCCATTCAACAAATGAGAGATGTTTTACAAGTTGTGTTTACTTGCCTCCTTTTAGTAGACTAGGTTATAAATAGCACTGTAGGTAGCATCTGTTGACTAATGATTAAGATACATACAGATCACTAAGGTCACTGGCATGGAGAGGGCCACAATTAATCCCATTCAGAATATTGTTACTTATAGACTGTCACTGTTGAGAAGAGATGTGGTTCCTAACGTGGTACACTCAACCATTAGTGAAACATTATGTCTAATCTGTTTCTTTCTGCATTTTTACCCTGACACCTAGAATTTTACATATTCAGACAGTAGTTATTTCCTAGTAGAGGTTCCCATGTTCCTCAGTCCCACTTCAGTCCTAGTTTAGCATATCCTTTATGAAATGGCAAGGTCCAATGAGCAACTGGCAAGTATGAAGATCATATTGAAAGACAATTGGAGCTAATCCTGGATAACTACTATTATCATCTTAATGGTTGATTTGTGGAACTGGAGGCAATTATAATAATTGGAATCTCACTTATTTAAAAATATTGTAGAAGCTGGCCAGGAATTAAGTTACATTTACATTTACTTTATGACTCCCAAAGCTAACTTTCTTTAAAAACACTACGATGAGCTAAGCCAGTCATTAACATCTACAGGCATACCTTGCTTTACTGTACTTCACTTTATTTTGATTTTTACAAACGGTAAGTCTGAGGCAATTCTGTGTCAAGCAAGTCTATCAGTACCATTTTTCCAACAGTATGTGCTCACTTTGTGTCAAGTTCTGGTAATTCTCCCAATATTTCAAATTTTATTATTGTATCTGTTATGGTGATCTGTGATAAGTGATCTTTGATGTTACCATTATAACTGTTTGGGGTTGCAACAAAACCGCATCCATAAAAGGTAGGGAACTTAATCTGTAAATCTTGTGTGTGTTCTCACTGCTCCACCAACCAGCCATTCCCCAGTCTCTCTTCCTCTCCTTGGGCTTCCTTATTCCCTGAGATACAACAATATGGAAATCAGGCCAATTAATAACCATACATTGGCCTCTAAGTTCAAGTGAAAGGAAGAGTCAGATATTTCACTTTAAGTGCTAGAGATGATAAAGCTTAGTGAGGAAGGCATGTCCAAAGATGAGCTGGACTAAATGCTAGGCCTCTTGCACCAAACGCCAAGTTGTGAATGCAAAGAAAAGTTCTTAAAGGAAATTAAAAGTGTTACACTAGTGAACACACAAATGATAAGAAAGCAAAACAGACCAATTTCTGATATGGAGAAAGTTTGAGTGGTCTAAATAGAAGATGAAACCAGCTACAACATTCCCTTATGCCAAAGCCTAATCCAGAGAAAGTCCCCAAAACTCTTCAATTCCATGAAGGCTGAGACAGGAGGAAGCTACAAAAGAAAACTTGATACTAGCAGACGTTGGTTCATGAGGTTTAACAAAAAGACACCTCCATAACATAAAAATGCAAGGGGAAGCAGCGAATGCTGATGTAGAAGCACAAATTATCCAGAAGATCTAGCCAACTGATGAAGATGGCTACCTCAAACAGATATTCCATGTAGATGAAACAGCCTTGTATCAGAAGAAGAAAAAGCCATTTAGGACTTGCACAGCTAGAGAGAAGTCAATGCCTCACTTCAAAGCTTCAAAGGACAGGCTGACTCTTCTTAGGAGCTAATGCAGCTGGTGACTTTATGTTAAAGCCAATGCTCATTTACCATTCTGGTGCCCTGGAGAATTATGCTAAATCTATTCTACATGTGCTCTATAAATGAAACAAAAAACCCTGGATGACAGTACATTAGTTTATAGCATGGACTATTGAATATGTGAAGCCCACTGTTAAGAACTGCTCAGAAAAAGAAAAAAGACTCCTTTCATTTTAATGAATATTATTCTTCATTGACAATGTACCTGGTCAACCAAGAGCTTTGATGGAGATGTCCAAGTAAATCAATGTTGTTTTCATGCCTGCTAACACAACATCCATTCTACAGACCATGGATCAAAGAGTAATTTTGCCTTTCTAGTCTTATTATTTAAGAAATACACTGTGTAAGAGGGCTAAAACTGCCAGAGATAGTGATTCTTTTGATGGATCTGGGCAAAGGAAACTGAAAAACCTTCTGGAGAGGAGTCACCATTCTAGATGCCATTAAGAACATTCGTGACTCATGAGGTAAAAATATCAACTTTCATAGGAGTTGGAAAGCAGTTGATTCCACCCTTCATGGATGACTTTGAGGGGATCAACACTTCAGTGGAGGAAGTAACCACAGGTGTGGTGAAAATAGCAAGAGGACTAGAATTAGAAGTGAAGCATGAAGATGTGATTGAATTGCTGCAATCTCATGATAAAGTTTGAATGCATGATGAGTTGCGTCTTAGGGATGAGCAAAGAAAGTGGTTTTTTGAGATGGAATCTACCCTGGGTAAAGATTATGTGAACCATTGAAATGACAACAAAGGATTTAGAATACTGCATAAACTCGGTTGATAAAGCAGCAGCAGGGTTTGAAACGACTGACTCCAATTTTGAAAGTTCTACTGTGGGTAAAATGCTATCAAATAGCATCACATGATACAGAGAACTCTTTCATGAAAGGAAGAGTCTACTGCTCTTCCTTAGTGGCAAACTTAATTGTTGTTTCAAGAAACTGCATCCCAATCTCCAGCAATCACCACCTTGATCAGTCAGCAGCCATCAAAACAGAGACAAGACCCTCTGTCAGAAGAAAGATAATGACCTTGCTGAAGGCTGAGATAATCTTTAGCATTTTTCAGCAATAAAATATTTTTAAATTAAGGTCTGTATTTTTGTCTGAAATCTCAGTACTTTTGGTCTGAAAAAGTACAGACGTTAATTTAAAAATACTTTATTGTTGAAATAAAATAAAGTTTCTTATTCTTAAATTTAAGAAGCTTGTACTTTTTTTTTCAGTATTTCATGTAAATTCTATTGCACATTTAAAGACATGTAAAATCTAACTTTGATATGCACTAGGATACCAAAAAAATTCATGTGACTCACTTTATTGCAGTATTTGCTTTATTGAGGTGGTCTGAAACCAAACCTGCAGTATTCTAAGGCACAAATATATGTTAAGTCTCTACTTTTCATTTCACTTCAACAAAAATTGGTATAGTTCAAATACCAAACAGTGGATAAATGCAAGTAAAATCGTAAGATAAAGCAGCCTACCTCTAAATTCAATTGAATCATGAGATGGTCTTTATGTCCATCTAGTTTTCCAGAACCTCTAACAATATGTTCCTTACCGGCAATCATCATGTAAAAGTCAGTCTGTTTCAAGTTAAATAACCACAACCTTAAAAGTGAGGAGATGAAGCAATCCAGAATCTTCTTTAAATGTATAGTTTCCATTCAAGGAAACCAGTGTCCTTAAAGTTGTCTTTTGTGGTATATAATTCCATAAAATTTTCTTCTATGAATGTCTGTATTCTACACCATGCCAGACTTTATATATATGTCATATATATATACATATATATACACACACAAGTTATATTTGTAAAATACTCGTAACACTCTTAACCAGTTTGACAAAATACATTTTGAAATACTAATGTTCTATTGAAATTAACTGCCTTACATATTTTCAAGAATTAAATCCTGAGTGTATTTTTAAAATATTTTCCTCTGAAAAGCAGGCACTGAGGAGTCACCAAATCGCAACTGAATCTCTTTCCCGTAAATTCTACTTTAGAGAATAATTTGTAAATTCAGAACTCAAAGTATAATGTAAGCATTTCCAATAACAAAACCAGAAGTTTCTTCACAAAGCAAATCTATATATTGAATTAAAATATTATATGTATTATCGGTCTCTTTCACAAATAGAAATTGATGTTATAAGGGCAGTTCCTGACAGCCTTAATAAACGAAGGGAAATACACAAAATTATCAAAATGTCTCAGAAGCAGCAGCTGGAGGCCTGAGGGAAAGAGACAGACAGACAAAAGGAAATGGGAGGGGAAGAAGATACGTGAAGCCAACATGCTTAGACTGCACTAGACCTTATTAGCTCAGCCCCTGACTCACTATAATCTACTCAGTTATCTGTATCACCCAAAAAATTAACGGTTGAAAAGCAAATCGACCATTGTGGGCAGTGATTTTAGGTCCTACATTTAGCTTGAGATTTGCCAGAAAGGAAAAGAGCTAAATTAGAAAAAGATGTAAATAGCAAGAAGCGCTGTGTGGAAGGGGGAGGGGAGAAGGGTAATGGAATAAAAGCGAACTGCGCTCAAGTCTCAGCACTAAAGCTACTCTGCGCGTACTACAGAGGCCGTGCCGTCGCCGGGAGCTCTCCCCGTGCAGGGCAGGAGCTGGGGTCGCAGATGCTCCCCCGGCGACTCAGGGAAGGGGGTGGCGGGCGCCGGCGTCCCCGGGACACGCGCAGAGTGGCCCCGATTAACACCTTCCTAGTCGGGACCTGGAGCTCCGAGCGGGGCGCGCACGGGGGTGGGGCGGCTAGGAGCGCGTCTCCTCCCCGGGAGGGAGAAGACAGGAGAGGGGCGGACCGCATCCCCGTCCCCAGCCCAGGCGCGTCCATTACCCGTGAGGTTCCTCAGCACCGTCCCGTGGGCCCAGAGGCTCAGGACCTGCTGCACCGACAGGTTGATCATGGAGTGGTCGCCCCCCTCCGCCTTCATCTTCCCCGAGGGGCGCCCGCCTCCCTCTCCTCGGGGGCCAGGCGGCGGCGGCGGCTGCGAGGCTCGGGGGGCGGCGGCGGGTGCGCGGCTTCTCCAGGCCGCCGCCGCCGGTGGAGGCTGCGGAGCGCCGGGCCGGGCGCTGCTGCTGCTGCAGCCGGAGGGCCTCCGTTGGGGGGCCGCTCAGCGTGTCTCCCAGGCAGCCCCCTCCCCGCCGGGGAGACATTGAGGACGGCAAACGGACGAGGGTGGGGAGGGGGCCGGGCGCCGTCCCCGCGCGGCCCCCGAGCGAGGACTCGGGGCGGAGGCCGCCGCCGCTCCCTCTCAGGGGCAGCGCCGCGCTGCGGGGGCCGGACACGCGAGGAGGCCGAGGTCACGCCGGGAGGCCGGTGCTGACGGGCAGCCGGCAGATGCAGCCCCCGACGGGGCCCAGCTCATCGCCGCTGGAAGACGAAGAGGTGCGGGACCGGCCGGAGGCTGCGGCGGCACCTGCCGCCCGCCTGCCCGCCCTCGGGTCGCCGACACTCGAGGAACCGCCCCCTCCACCCGCAGCCGCCGGCGGGCCGCTCGTGCGCGCGCGCGCGCGCCTCTCAACCCGGCCCCTCCTCCCCTGCCGTCCCCGGAGCCGCTGCGCATGCCCACTCCCCCGCTCCCTGCGACCCGCCGCCCTCCGGCAGCCGGTCGGCCCCAAAGCCCTCCTCTCACTCTCCCCTCGCGCTCCAGCGCGCGTGGCTGACGGCGCCGAGCGTCGGCCCGCAGTGGGGCGGAGGGAAGCGAGGCCTACGTCACTGGCGCCACCGCCGGGCCTTGATGCTGATTGGGTACTCCAAGGGAACCGCCTCCACGCCCCCCACCCCCGGACCCTAGGCGCGCGCCCTGGGAGACCCGAAGACTGGGAGCCCTCGCCCCGGCGCTGCTGGGTGCGCGCGGTGCGGGCGGTGTGGGCGGCGCGGGAGCCGGCGCTGGAGGAGCAGCCCTGACCCACAGAAGGGCTGCTGAACTCGGTGAGGTGGATGCTGTGACAGTTCAGATTTTTGCCTTAAAATATAATGCTTTTGGTAAAGATGTTTACATATAACTTTTTTTAAAGGTGTAAATATCTCAACATTTAGATATATGTATTTGCGGTTTTTTTTTTTTTCTGAGAGTGAATCAAATGACCTAGTTAGGTGACTTACTTGCAGAATGCATATAAAAACACCTAAAACACAAATACACCCGCGTTATCATTCTGCCAGTGCCTCTTCCCGCTGCAAGAACTTGGGCCTCCCAGGGTTCCAGGTTCTGCCATCACTTGTTTGCTTTAGGCTCGGCAGGTGTCCTAATCTTCAAGGCCATTGACAGCTCTAGCCCCACCTTTTTTTGTATGATAGTATTCTTTTATCTGAATTTTGTCTGTTATTTTTTTCTATCGGACTTAAACTGGATCTCTCTCCCAATGCTTTGCTGTTTCTCTTCATGTCCAGCACTAGACAGAGGAGCATCTAAAATCCAACTACAAGTTAAACTCCTCGAAATTTGAAACCTTTTTACTTTACAAAATAAAAATTTAAGTTTTAGCAATAACATAAATATGCACTCGCCAGCCCCTCCCCCCACCTTTTCCAACCCCTCTGCTATCTGGATAAAGAAAAATTTACAAAGAGAAGTGAAGAAATACCTGCTGTAGCTAGATCATAAAGTATATTTGGCAAAGCACTGAAGGGTTGAATTACCTGTGAAATGGTGCTCTTGGCCTTAAAATGATATTTACATATACAGCACTTTAAAATAATATTTACATATATACATTTATTTCCACTTTAAAATAATATTTACATATACACATTTATTTCTTCGTTTATTTGTATTTTTCTTTTGATGTCACAACACAAGAAAAAGAAATTTTTGCACCATTAATAAGAATTGAGCCAAAGCTCATAATGCAAAGTTTATCTTCCTCCTAGAATTTAGATTTAATTAGATCTATTAATTTAAGATTACAGAATATCAAACATAAAAGAGGCTTTAAATTTTTCTAATTTATTTATTTTACAGATAGGGAAACGAATTCTGTGAATTAAGTGACTTTGGACAGAGATGACAGCACTTCAGAGCTCAGTTTCTGAATTCCTGGTCTATTATTCTTTCTAGCAACCACATTATCTTTCTTAACCCACTGTTAACTCCCTAACTTGGAGATTCTGGATGGGGAAGTGCAGGTTACCTAATGATATTCTTAAGAGACTTGGCGTTACATAATTCGTGATGTTAGGGAATGTGACCACATTCAGTGAAGAGTTCACAGTAAACCCTGTAAGCAGGAGCTCACTAAACTCTCACATTAGAAACCTTTAGTTAGTTTACCTTCTTAGGATTGCACACTATTATTTAAAACATAGTAACATGCAGTGAAAATATTCAGAACCTGGGACAGTGCCTGGCACATGCACCATAAATATTTGTTGAATGAATCACTGAATGATCTTCATAGAAAAGTCAGCATTGTTCTTGTTCTGAATAAATGTTTTTAACAGAATCCAAGTGTTCATGTCAGGAAATGAGAGACACACAGAAATGAAGCCTCAAGCCAGTGATGCTCTTTGCTACCCAGCAACATTTCCCCTGCTCTTCAGTTTAATTGGTGTCTACATTTATTTGGCATCTACTGTCTGTAATGTTCTGTGAAAAGTGTTATCTGTAAGATTTGAACATGAGATCCCTACTCTCTAGGCTATTTAACTTAGGTTTGCCTTGATAAAGGTAAGGGTACTGGCTGTGTTGGAAGCCTATATCTTTAAGGGAATTGGACATTTTCCCAACAGCCAGAGTTATGAAACCCAGAACTGAATTAATACAAATGAAAGTTTTGAAATTTCTTTTTACAGACTTTTGATATTAAAATAATACACCAATTCAGGAATGGTTTAGTCACATTCCTGTTGGAAATCAGGGAACACCCCAAGTGAATCCAAAAGTTTCTTTTCAATTCTGTGCCCTTCAGTGTGAAACAATTCACAAATGTAATTCATAAACCAAAATTATTTTCCACACATAAGTGAGGGAGCACCCATTAGCCTTAATCATTTTAAAAACTGTCCAGAAACAACCTAGAGGAAAGCTTTTAAAATCAATTAAAATATAAAATGATATTGATCCTTTGAGAAAAACATTTTCAGGTATCTTTTCAGCAGTGCCCCACTTTACTGGTACCAATTTACTGTATTAGTCCATTTTCACACTGCAGATAAAGACATACCCGAGCTGGGCAATTTATAAGGAAAGAGGTTTAATTGGACCTAACAGTTCCATGTGGCTGGTGAAGCCTCACAATCATGGCTTAAGGAGAGGAGGAACAAGTCCGGCTTTACACGGATGGTAGCAGGCAAAGAGAGAATGGGTAAGATGCAAAAGAAGAAACCCCTGATAAAACCATGCAGAGCCAAACTATATTATTCCTCCCCGGCCCCTGCCAAATCTCATGTCCTCACATTTCAAAAATAATCATGCCTTCCCAACAGTCCCCCAACATCTTAACTCATTTTTCAGCATTATCTCAAAAGTCCACAGTCCAAAGTCTCATCTGAAACATAGCAAATCCCTTCTGCCTATGAGCCTGTAAAATCAAAAGCAAGTTAGTTACTTCCTAGATGCAATGAGGGTACAGGCATTGGATAAATACAGCCATTCCAAATGGGAGACATTAGCCAAAGCAAAGGAGCCACAGGCCCCATGCAAGTCCAAAATCTAGCGGGGCAGTCAAATCTCAAAGTTCCCAAATGATCTTCTTTGATTCCATGTCTCACATCCAAGTTACACTGATGCAAGAGTGGGTTCCCATAGTCTTGGGCAGCTCTGCTCCTGTTGCCTTTGCAGGGTATAGCGCCCCCCCCCACCCTCTTGGCTGCTTGCATAGGCTGGCGTTGAGCGTCTGCAGCTTTTCCAGGTGCATGGTGCATGCTCTCGGTGGATCTACCATCCTGGTAGACTCTGGAGGACAGTGGCACTCTTCTCACAGCTCCACTAGGCGGTGCCCCAGTACGGACTCTATGCGGGGGCTCCAACCCCACCTAAAGTCTAAATGTGAGAGTAAGAAGAAAAAGATTCTGCTAAAGTCACACACATACACACACACACACACACACACACACACGGACGTGCATACACATGATCCTGCATTGTTAACATGTAAGATACAGTTTCCCCCGCAAAAACCTTGTCTAAGAAGTACCCTGCATCCAGCCTGGTCATATTACAGATAGAAAACCACACATAAAAAAACATAAAATAATGGGTTGATTAAACACCACCTGAAGTTACAACATGTAACTCACAATAAATTCTTAAAAATTATTTAATTATTAAGCTAAACATAAGAAAACATTGTATGCCAAGAACAAAATGGTGAAAATGGTATTTCACTGATTTTAAGTGAGGTATTTTTTATTGTGTGTAGGAACAGAACATTTGGGTGAGCTTTTCTAGGGATTTTTTTATACCATTTGCTCATTTTTCTTTTGGATAATTTATATTACAAAAAATGTTATGTGTAGGAGCTTTTATATATTTAACAGATTAACCATTGTGATACATATTATGTATTTCTTTTCTAGTTTGTCAGTTGCCTTTTAACTTCAACGGAAGTTTTCTTGTCATGCAGAAATTTCTGATATTTACATTGCCAATCTATTCTGTTACAGTATCTGAGTCTTCCATTATGCTTTAAAGATGTCTTCCCTTCTCTCAGATTTGATTTTTTTTTAAAGTATCCTATATTTTTTTTCTAGAAATATTGTAGGTTTTTTCTTGTTTGCACCTTTAGTCCACCTGGAATTTTTTTAATGGAGTTTGATAGAGATCTTGATTTTTTTCTAGATGGTCATCTAATCATCTCAAAACATTTATTGAATAATTGATCATTTTTCCACTGACCTAAAATATCCAATGTAGCGCGAACAAAATTCCCATATATACTTAGGCGTATTTCTGGACTTTTTGTTACATCTATCTGTCTGTTTATGTGATGTCACCACACTATTTTTATTTGCTTTTGTACTCACTTTCTCATGTTTTTGGTTAATCTCAAATGTGTATTTTTCCAGATGAACTTTAAAATTAGCTTTCTAATTCTA